ATTAAACCGCGTAAAATATATTCAGATTACTACAAGGTAGTAACCACTTAAATAACAATTCACAATTAGCAATAAAGAACTTATATTTTGCTTTTCACCGTCTAAGCTCCGTGTAACATGGCACGATTGCAATATTTATAGTGGAATCTGAAATAGAACTGATCAGTGTTTTTAAGAATTGACTAACAAAATAAATCTACAGCCCATGCCCATGCATGTTATGTTTCGATTTTAGGTAAATCTAACGTTTGCGTTGCTTTGGTCACAAACGTAATGACGACCATGTGATGGGCTGGTTTTTCAAAGCTGGGTTAAAATTTAACCCGCTGTTTTGCCTTCGTTTTTTATAGAGGTTCAGATTTGACTTCCATGCATGCACTATACCCCTACCTTTACCATTAAGGAACCATCAACCAATCAGATGCGTTTGATATATTCGATTAACCAATCAGGGGCCAGTTGTATAAAAAAGTGATTAAAGTGCCGATAGCCCGCGTGCAGGCCCAAGGGAACTGATAGTGGGCCTGCAAGCAAGGCCCGGTATTTTGTAAAACGCCCCTTTTCATAACACGTCCCTTTTCATAACACGCCCCATTCGCGCGTCAATTGTCAAAAAAGAACCAATGACAGCAACCCAAATATTAACAAACAAACTCGCCAGAGCAAACTCGCATTAAAATGTTGCGGGGTTTTCTCTGCTTTAATATTCAAAATAGAAACAATGTGTAAATGCCTGTGTTAAAACTCAAAAAAAACAAGCAACGCAGTCAGTAATTGCCAAATTTACAAGTGCTCATTTTCAACTAAAATCGGAACAGGCAAATTAAGACGAATTTCAACAGAAAACCAGTCTCAAACTTCAAATCGTGAAGGAAGTCGTGCGACCACATCAGCATTTATAATGTTGCTTCGCTGTCGCCATTGTTATAAATAAATTGTCTCACTTATCAGATCGTGTGTGCAATTCTTGTTGGCGGCGGAAAGTACGAAATTTATTTCAGTTATTTCATTTGGTGAGAACTCTACAAAAGAAGAGAGCGTTCAGAGTCCAGATCGTTTCGTTTCAAACGGCAATTTAATACCGTCTTCTCTTTTGCTCTCTCAGCGAAGCCTTGTAAATCGCAAAGTATTTTGAATAGGCTTACATGCAACTGCATCTCAACATCAACCAAAAGATAATTTTCTTGAGGAACATATAACATATCAAGTCTGTTTGAAATTAATGAAACTCAAGTAAAGGTTACTATAGTTTTATACCCCATTCGTAATAAATGTTGCTATTCCAACACCTCACGACAAGCAATCCTCATTGGCATAACGGTAAAAACATCTCTTCCTTCAAGTAAACAATAAACAGTCTGTTCTTGTTCCATTTGTAATCGAAAAAAGTGATCAATTTTCGAATTTTAAGCTTGTCGAGAGCCTTTGTCTATGCCTTTGTGATGAATCACTGACCTATTATAGAATCCAACAGCAAACAGCCAATCAGAATGCCGCGTTCGTGGGCGAACGCGGAAAGTACAAAATACCGGGCCTTGCTTGCAGGCCCACTATCAAGTTCCCTTCAGCCTGCTCCCTTGGGCCTGCACGCGGGCTAAGTGCCGATTAAAAGTTTTATACAACCGCCCCCAGATATTTTGTTCTGTTTCTACCAAGGTCGGACAAATTCTTTCAAAATGTGTTGAAATTGTTTTTAGTTAGACTCTTTTTACTTAGATTTATTTATGGAGACCCATATATATATATATATATATATATATATATATATATATATATATATATATATATATATATATATATATATATATATATATATATATATATATATATATATATATATATATATATATATACATGTCCAAATATCTTTGAAAACAAGTATATATATAAATATATAATACACAAATAGCTAGGGTATAATAGCATATAATTACGAATGGGCGACCATATTTTCGACAGAAATGTGGTGCATTTATGCTTGAGATACTATTTCAAATCCATGTTACTCTGCACAACTTAAAGTATAATGTGCTTCATTTAATATGTTGTATAGGACTTGAAATGACTTGAATTAATGAAATGAAGAATTGGTCGGATTGTTTAATTGACAAAATTCCGTGAGAAAACGTATACACTGACGTTGATACATGTGAAATGATGCTTCGAAAACAAGATATAACCTTATGGTATACTTATATATATATATATATATCACAAAGCCATGCTGTGAGAAGATATATACCGGCTGCCTGTTGTTATATGGAAACCTAGAAAATTTGTGTAAACTGAATTTGTAAGTATAAACTATTGTGATTGTGACTATAGGTGTTGAAAAAGGCCATTTCTATAAGATTATCTAATTTATCTTGCCCTGAGCACCAACCCTATAGTACGTCTTGAGAGAGCGTCTGACGCTGAAAGCTCGAACAACAGCAGATTGTACATATAAATCCAAAGATGAAGACATTAGATAGCTTAAGATCTACGACGTCGACGTCAGCTAGGACGTCAGGGCTATGCAGAGGACTGGGACTAGGATGTCGTCCTAATGTAGTCCCAGTTCTCTGCTTAGCCCTGGCGTTCTAGCTGGCGTCGACGTCGTAGATCTTAAGCTGTCTAATAAAAGACTTACAGCACTTACTACAAGTACACTCGCGGTTTTCATTAGGAATGAGCAAGTTAAAAATGCAATGAGCGAACTTGACCGGGCAGTTCTACCACTATAATATATTCCAGAAAATGAGTTTACGCTCATCCAAGAAAAAACACGAGTCAACGTGTATAGCAGGTCTACTAACTTATATTATCCTTTAAAACACCATTAATAATTCATGAAGAAAATTGAAAGGAAACGAATATTTAATCAATGTTTGTAAATCGGATAAAGGTTTGCCCTGATTTATATAAACTCAGTCGGCTTTCATTTTCTCGGCTTAGACAATGTTTATTTTTAAAATTACTTTGCCATGCAATGAACTCATAAGATGGGTCGTTGTTTAAGCCGTGTTTAAGTATATACAAACTCTTGCCTAATTCCGCCCTCGGCTCGAGTTTGTATATCAGATAAAGATCGGCTGCTCAAAAGACCTCGGACACAGTTTTTCTCGTCCGGACCTCGCAGCTGGTAAATAACATATACTATAGGCAACACAGGTCTAAAAAACCTAACATTTATTGTTTATTATTTCTAGGTAATTACACACACTTCTGAGATAATTTACCGATGCAACCAATCGTGATAAAACTTGCAATCGAAATTTGTCAAATCATTTATATTGAAACATGTTCATGCATGACTGTACCACACTTGCTGTCAAATATGCTGTTATGCAAATGAAAAAGAAGTGGGTAAGTTTTGTAGTTGGTATAAAATTGTTTGTCTCACTGAATTACTGTTTCATGTTGGTTACGGTAGCAAACACTTTCGCAATTTCTCGCATTTTTATAACATTTACATCTTAAAACCGTAATATAAGAATGATAACTGTTCATTCAATCGTACAATCAGTTTGTTACTGAATCGACCAGTGCTGTAGAAGTGGGGGTCGCTTGGGGGCGGACCCCCCCCCCCCTTCTTCAAACTGTGGGGGGACTGAGCCCCCCTTCTACTTTAGAAAATCGAGAATTTATTATGTCACAGAGGAAATTAAGTCATCTGGCGATACTAAATATCGAGTGTACTCATGTCCAAGAACGACAAGAGAAAACGTGACTTTGGTTCATTTACGGAGCAGGATCTCTGTTACAATCTGAACAAAAATATTTAGTTTTGATTTAAAAAAAGGTCAGCGTATGGCTCACCCCTGGTCGTCATTTGACGTCACGTTTTTTTACGATTTCAAGGCTTCACGCTCGTCAAGAGAGCCCCCCCCCCTCTGGTAAATTTAGTTCTACAGCACTGGAATCGACCATGCAATCTACGATTGTTTTAAAACTTTTTTATGGTATAACTCGTGCCTTGACTCCTGCCGTCGAAGTGATTACGTGCCTTGAGGCTTACTGGCAGTTGAAAGTGGCAATTAGTTTAGCAAGTTTTTGTTAAATGACGCAGCTCATCGCTACTATATATACAACATATATTGCAAGGCAAGCCTTGCGTGAGTGGGGGCATCAGAGCTTGTATTTCCCCAATGTATCTTGATATACTCCTCATAATAATATACATGCATTAGTATATTTGTACCAGCGAATATAACAAATCCTACAAGTTGATTTGTCAAATTTGACGTATTCAGCTGTAAAGACAGTTGTATTCCCCCCCCCCCCTCCAGGTGAATATAACAAAACTGAAATTTGCAAAATGACGGCTAGCCGTTTTGTGGAAGTTACTGATAAAGAGATAAGCGTTAATTTAAAATAAATTCAGTCCCCAAAAAACCAAAAAGACTTGTGTAAAAATACTAAAACAATTATTCGCCTCAGGCTCGGTGATTATCGGGAATTAGTATAAATTTTGCATATCAAATGAGCTTTCGCGCGTTCTGATTGGCTAGTTGACTTATTTACCACATGAGTAGTAAATAATGCTTTTCAAAAAGAATGATTCGGCAAATTTGGTTTCAAAATCGACAAAAGCTTGAAAAAATCATCCCCAGAAAAGGAAAGAAGCACAAAATGTTGTATTTAACTTGAAAGGTAGAATTCCTTTATTATTTTACTGTGTCAAACATATTCACGGAGAATTTAAAACGTATTTAAAACCGGAGTTTTGTTTTCAAACAAATAGCAAAAAGCTAGTATCCCGACTGTTCAATGGGAAAAACCTTGCCGTGATATTCTTTTAAATCCATTTTGTTTTGTATCCTATAGATTTCTCAATTTGTACGATACTATAACTAAGTACTGTATACATGTTCTATAAAGTACCACTTTAACAGAGGAGTTGCCAACAGGATCTTCTTTCCGACCATGCTTCCAATGAGACTACGCCGAGGCTGTCTCATGATGTCGTTTTCTTCCGCATACGTTTTCATAAACTCACCAATATCGTCTCGTGAAATGTCTATGTTTTTAAAGATGGGACACATCTCTTGAAAGTGATCTCGCAAGTTATCGGGTACGTGGATGTCGCACTCTACACACCCAAACAATGTCTCATTCCTCACGGCGGTTAGGATGTTCTCCATACTCATGGTTTCCATCTTAGCCAAGGGTCGACGTAGTCGTGTTGCTATGAAGCGCTGTAACTCTTTGTTGGTCTTTTTCGTGGCTCGCCACTCGCATTCCCAACACTCGACAAGGTTATAACCCTGTTTACGAATATAAGCACTATTTTTCTGTGTTTCCTCCAATAATTCGACCATGGGTTTATCTGGCGTTTCGTTCACCTCCTTTCCGCGGTTGAGATGGTAATTGTGACCATGCCAATAACAACCTAGAGAAAGAGAATAAATCATTATAAACCTACAAAGAGAAAAACCCAAGTACATCCCACGCGATCGCCAAAAACTCATTAACCTACTCCCACACAATTAACTTAATCCTAACTAATTACCTTAAAACAACTTACCATGAAACTGAAACACAGTTTGTGATTCAGCGTGAAACCCATCAACGGGGAGACGACGAGCACTGATTCGTTTCTCTGTATTGTTGTATTCATGCCTAATCTCAATTTGTCGACTGAACGCTTGCCATTCTAGCCACGTGCACTCTATTGCCATCTTTCCACTCCATTTTTTCTTGAACCCATCTTCTTCTAACCGTCTCGAGAATTGTCCCGTTGGCATGTCTTGCATGATAGCCCACAAGTAGAGCGCGTCATCCAACCACTTTTTGGCACGGTTTTGGTTCTTCACCTTTCCCTCGCATTTGTACTTCACGTATAAATGTTTTGTCTTTCTCGTGGTACCTGTTGAAAATAATACTTGGTCCCCCTACTTTATTGGCCTTCATTGTATAATACAAGTCTTTATCTTTTTCATTTAATAAGGAGAAAAATGTACTGGGAACGTTTGAAAATAAATATTTCATAGTTAGTCCAGGTACACTTACACCGTCCTTAAATATATAAATCAATATTTCTTGCCAGAAAGTGCTCATTTTCTCGATGGCCTTGAGGAAGGGGACTACTAAGGTTATTTATTGTACCAAATCAGGAAATCACAAAATCGAGTTTCATTCCATATCTGTTTACAATACTCGTATTGCTCTTCGCTGATGTTTGTTCCAGATAGGGTGGAATGAAAGGCTTGTTGAGGTGGTAAGGTGGGAAAGTTAAATTTCTCGAACGAGTCGACACATTCGTATGGGAAATAACCTTTGGTCTGCGTGCATTCGTACGCTTTGAGGAACTGTTTGTAGGAAAATCCAGGAGCCAAGTAGTTGGTGATATCGAGAAACTTTAAATGATGGGTCTTAAGACACATGTGGCTGTTATTTCTTTTGATCACAAGGTGGATGTCTTTCTAAAAGGAAAACAAGTCACTCAAGCAACTGGAACGTATCCGTACCGTGCTTATCTCGAGACACTGTTGAACTATGGCCCATCAGCAAAACAATCGCAACTCACCGCTTCGCTTTTTTACAAGGATACAGCTGGAAAGATGGATGTTGCAAACCCCACCGCGACTGCTGCAAATGCCAACCTTAGTCTTAAAGCAAAATATGAATTTAGCAAGACAAGTGGTATCATAGAAATGGCTGGTCCTATTTTCTGCGACGTGTTCTTTTCTGAACGTTTGTTACTCAGTTATGTAGATCTGAAAGTTGTTATGAATCGCGCCAGTAATGAGTTTTGTTTGATGGCTTCAGAAGTTGATGCTGATTATAGAGTAAAGTTGATTGACGCGAACTTAAAACTACGTAAAGTGAAAGTAAACCCGAGTGTTTCGTTGGCACATGAAGTTGCGTTGAAGAAAGGCCCTGCGATGTATCCTATTCGACGCGTTGAGTGCAAGAGTTTTATCATCTCAGCTGGAAACCCATCATTGCGGAAAGATAATGTCTTTAATGGTTTGGTACCTAAATCGGTTATACTGGGATTAGTCGAGAGTGCTGCATTCAACGGTGGACTTAAAACGAACCCTTTCAACTTTCAACATTTCAACATGTCATCTCTAAGTGTTTCAGTTAATGGTGAACCCATTCCTTTTAAACCCATTCAGCTTTCCTTTGGAGCGAACCCTCAATTCATCGAGGCATTTCTTACACAGTTTTCTGGTACTGGGAAAATGTATTACAACATTGGTAATGGTATATCATGCACGTGAAGAATTTCCGAAAAGCAAAAGGTTAGTATAATGACAAGTAGAAATAATTAACTACTATTAAATTGAAATTGTTCGGCTTGCTAAAGTTAAGTTCTTTGTTGTAACGTTCATAACGGTTTATTATACATGAATAAACTGTAGCTAAATTATTTTTGTTCAGCTTCGTCACTTGAAGACTCGATTTTACGTTTCACATGACGTTTAATAACTTTTTTATCCTTCGGTAGCTTTCCATCCTTTCCATTAGACGCCTTTCTTTTCCTCTTTTTCAGCTTTGACACACTGTCAGCCCACAAGAAAAGCTACACTTTTCATCAGGATCTGTGTCTTGACATCGAAAATATGGACGCTTTGGATTTTTCGTTGAGTACGACAACCATAAACTTGCGACATCGTTCAATCGCACTTAGGAAAGTTGTTAGGCTTGAATTTCGCCAGCACTTTTGTCTCATACGCATCCATCAGTTCCAAATATTTTTCCTCTGGAACAAAAAGAGTGCAAGATTCCTTGCTACACTTTACGAAACCTCGCCCTTCCTTAGACTCGAACCGTTCTAGAGAACTTTTCTTACAAAAACATTTATAATTTTCAATCGATACCATTTTGAATGTTCTTGACTAACAACTGCAAATCAACTGTGCTCAGAGTTGAAATCTTGAGTTTTTATATATACAGCGTTCCTATCAAATATCGCACATTCCAACAATGCTAATTCCTAAATGTTTTCTTTGCAATGAATTGTAGTCTTTCGGTACTTTACAAATTTATTGTAGTTTTTCGGTACTTTACAATTTTCAGTACTTAGCGTTACTTTTCAAGCAGGATGGGATCTTTCAAGTAACACAGAGCGGAACCAAACAGAACGCTGGTTCTTAGCGCTGCCACAAAAGATTAATTTGACCAAACCGCTTTCAAAAACATAAATGAACCTTTAGTATGGAAAGATAATATTAGCGGTAAAAAAACATATAATTTCAATGGTTAGACAATCTCAACTATAGACTAAAATTTAATCTAGATATAGAACTGCAGTCGTGTAAATTATAAATATTTACGTGCTATACGTTGAAAAGGGATATGATTTGATTGAGATTAGTGTTACTTTTGAAGCAGGACATGGTCTTCAAACACAGAGCGGATACAATTTATTGTAGTCTTTCGATACTTTACAATTTTCAGTACTTTTAATTAAAAAGATCAATATAATTTGATTGAGATTAGCGTTACTTTTGAAGCAGGACGTCGTCTTTCAAACATAAAGCGGAACCAAACAGAGCGTTGGTGCGTAGCATTGCCACAAAAGGTTAATTTGACCAAACCGCTTTCAAAAACATAAATTAACCTTTAGTATGGATGGATAATATTAGCGGTAAAAAATAGAATTGCAGAGGTTGGACAACGCAACTATAGGATAAATTTCAATCTTTCATCACAGTTAGGAAGAACATTTTCAGATTAGTAAAGTTACAAAAGTTAGTTTGTCGCAAAATTTTGTAAATATGAAAAATTAAACAACATAGGTGAATAGTGATTAGCGCCAGTGCAAGGAAATAATTTGTAAACCGCTTACAAAGCATAAAGGAATCTTTAATATGGGTGGTGAATGGTAATTAACGGTAAACAAGATTCACAGAGAATTGATTTGCAAACCGCTTACAGAGCATAAAATAATCTTTAATATGGGGTTGGATGGTGATTAGCGGTAAACAAGATTCACAAAGAATTTATTTGAAAACCACTTACAAAGCATAAAAGAACTTCAATATAGGATTGGATGGTGATCTGCGCTGCTGCAAAAGATTAATTCACAAACCGTTAACGAAGCGCGTGCCTCGAAAACAAAGCAGCAATACGATTGCTTGATGTTTGCAGTGCCTTTCAACCCGTACGCGACAATTTAAGCGAAATTTATCCTATCATTTAGTGGCAAACTCTCGAAGGGACAAGATCAGGATGAATCCAAAAATTAGTAAGTACATATGGCAAACCTGAATCATACTAGTTCGATGATCATGATACATGAGGATTTTTATTTTATTTATTTTTTTTTCACAGCATATTGTGAGGGTAATTTTGGAGTAATGCCTAAATGTGCATGGTCACTTTGTTGACATTTGTGAAATGGAGCAACACATTCTCCATTATACAAAATTTGTTTGTGAGATATGCAAGTAAGTTAAAAATCCTTAACATGTTACTTTCATTATTTATTTCATTTTTACTTATTTTCTAAAGTTGTTATCCAACAATTTATATTTAACATTAATAGCACTGATGACGATGAGCTCGCAAAGCTGCTGCTAAACGATCCAGCATTCTGGATCGATCTTTTAAAGTACGTATAAAAAAATTTTATGCCACTAGTGGTCTTACATTGTACCATTCATCACATATTTATTCATTTTTTTTTTGTTTTTTTTTCTTTCTTTCTTACAGTGTGTTGCATCATTCTATCTTCAAGAAATAATAATAATTTAAAACTTACATCTAAAATAATAATAATAATAATAAAAAATTACATTTCACAAATGTTTCAGTTGTTTATTACATATTGCCCTATTTACAAAATATTCATCGGTTTACTTTTACAAACGTTCGTAAGTCATAGTTTTTAGTTTTTGTCTTTCCCTTGAACAAAACACTTGTCGCCAATCTTTGCATGTATACTTCAGAAGTTCAAGACCGTTTACAGAAGGCTTTATGTCTTGCAAACTCTTCATGAAATTTTCTGCTATTATCCCTTCACAAACAGCATTCGTTGCATCGTCAAAGTAGCGTAAAATTTTTTCATCGGCCTCCATCATTAAACAAGGATGCTGTCGTTGCGATGGATGATCAATGATACATCCGTTACAGTTTTCCACCACCAAACATTCAACATGAGCTGCAATTTCGTCTGCATAGCAATTCAACAGTTTATCTTCAATCAGTTTTTGACGATGAGTAAATATCATTTCGCATTCATCTATGTCCACAGACTTATTAAGTTTAAGTAAGTTTCTTTTGGATGACATGCTTAAAAATATTATACGTCTTCACAGCAAAAACATCCAGGCCAGAATAAAAATAGCATGAAAATATTGCTAAATTTTGGAACAATCTTTCATTACATCATGTTAACAGATTCTTAAGCCAATCATAATTAACCGGTGCGCGCGCCAGTTTAACCAGTTGACCTGGAAACTAATTAACATGGGTAAGAGCTCCGTTACTTCCGGGAACATACCTGCACCCTATCTACTCTCCTTACTGTGACGGTCACACCACCGATCACCAAAGGTTTTTTTTCGCAAAGAAAGTGGCATAATTTGACTTTGAAGGCTTATAAAAAGTTTATTTTTAGAAGTTTGAGAAGATTGGAGTTTCGGAAAACAGTTTGCATCTTTCGAACCAGTGCAAAAAATTCTATATAAACGTAATGCAAAAATCTCACCATCGAAAAATTCGTTGCATAAGACCTTTAACGATGTAATTAAAGTAAGTGTTTAAGAAAATACTTAAATAAACAGTTTTAAAAAGTCATTAACTTTGACTATTGTTCATTGTTTCTTCATGCATAGGAAGAGTCTAGAACCTTTGTTCGCTTGCTTCTTGTTTCCCTCCCTTTAAGCGTTGAATCGTTGTTGGATGTCTTCTTCTTTTTCTTCCTCTCGGTCAGATCATCCGCGCACTGGAAAAACGTACATTTGTCTTCTTCGTCGACGTCTTGACAAAGGAAGTATGGCCGACCAGGATTCTTTACTGAGTGTGACACCCAGAGACGCGTAGTTTCCTCACAGTCGCAGAGAGGAAACTTATTTGGCTTAAACTTTTGAACCACTTTCCTTTGCCACATTTAACAAAACCTCGTCCTTTCTTGCTTGTAAAACGCTTTAGACCATGTTCAGAACAAAAACATGGATTTGCTGTGATCGCTGCCATGTTCAAAGACGTTAAACTCGTTCTTGCAAAGATTTTACGACTTGCAACATGTAGAAAGATGTCATTTTTATACTATCATGATACCTGTTTTGCATAATATTTATACGCTTGAATTGTATACTTGTACTTTACTGAATTGTATACTTGAACTTTTTTTTCTTTGTTATAACATCTATACACCCATGAAAACTAAATACAGTTTACAAGGGGAAATAAGTTAATGACTGTTGGTGCGTTATTGTATTATACTGTTCCCAGACCATTAAGATATAACGAGCGTCTTTCGGACGTACTTAAGAACATTCGAGTTATCAATCTGATTAAATTTTGCCAGGAAAAGATTTTTAGATCCCTTGCCAAAAAATTAAGCGTCGTCTGGAAAACCATTACGTTAAGCGACTTGCAAAAATAAAGTCATTAAGACATAATGAGCGTCTTTCAGATATATGAACGATTTTTATCACACATGATTAAAGCTAGGTAACATGGGAAACAGTTTAAGGACATTCGAGCTATCATTCTGATTAGGCTTTACCAGGAAAAGATTTTTAGATCCCCTGAATGATTGATTAAAAATAGAATTTATTGTATGTATGTATCGTGTAAGTTTCCTTAAATATAGTTTGTAAAAATCAAATTTTGACTTGCGTGCGTTATTTTTAATTGGGAATATTAATCAATATAAAATGTTATGAAACAGATATTGCTTTACTGAAAACCTTTATTTCACGCGTCAACCATTATCAATTATTTAATCTAAAAAGTTTACAAAAGATCTAGTGTTTTCTTCTTTAGCAACTGTTTCTGTTTACCACAAAATAACATTCGCCAATCTTTACATGTGTATTTCAAAAGTTCAAGTCCATTTACTTTCGGCTTGATATCTTTTAGGCTGTTCATAAACTTCTCAACAATTTCCGCTTCTGAAACTGATTCAAGTGCAGCCTCAAAGTACAACCATAATCGTTCATCCGCTTCCATCATCAAACAATCATGTTGTCTTTGTGTGGAGTGGTCAATTAAACAGCCATTACAGTTTTTCAATACCATACTTGTAATAGTTGAAGTGATCTCTTCTGCATAACAGTTTAAAAGTATGCCCCCTATCATTTTTTGACGATGAGTAAGATATCTTTCTTCATTGCCAATATCAGTTGATCGCAGCAATGCCCTGGGTTTTCGTCTTGTCGCCAATCATTCCATTCCGCCAGAATCTGTTCTTGTGTTTCAGGGGACCAAGAGTCAAACATTTCATCTGCGGCAACGGCACAAAGCTGGCGATTAACCTCCGCATTTTCCAATTCACTCATAAATTGATCTCTCCTACAAAATATAGAAATCGATTAAATAAACGAGACTCTCGATATTATACTAATTTTCAGTTTAAATTAAACTTACCATAGATTGTTGCGCCTTTCTTTTTCAACTAATTTTCTTTACGAACCAAAGCAAAATTTCACCAAAAATAGTTAACCAAAATAACTTCAACTAAGCGTTGTCAAATGTAGAACTATGCTTATTACAAGACGCTTGTCGAATTTATACAGACGCTTGTATAAAAGTCGTTAAATCAAACAACCAATCGTAGTAAACCAATCTTAGATCTTAATCCCTCTATTGTATCACATACGTGGAGGGACGCTAAAAGTTGCCTAGTCAGCAAGTTTCACCCGATCTTGTCCAAGCTTGCCCGCGTGACATCATTACGTATTAATTACCCTCCGCAATTAATGTGGAGGTACCTATATTAATTAATGTTGAGGTATGTTAATTACCGTCCACACTCATCCACACCTCACCCTCACTCACCCTCCCTCACCCTCATTGTATGAATATTAATTACCTCACCCTCATTTGTATGAATATTAATTAGCGCACCATCATTTGTATGAATATTAATTAGCGCACCCTCATTTGTATGAATATTAATTAGCGCCCTCAAAAATAAGGCTCAAAAACCACCTACATTACTACTCTCACGTGTACGAAAAAACTCCTGATAAAGAGCATCAATGACCAGAAAATGACAAACTGGCATTTTAGTGCGTATTTACAACATTAAATGAAAGAAATCAACATTGTTTTCCTTTAGTTCAAACAGAATTATTTCATCGTCTTCGCGTTTTCGGCTTGCCTCAGCATACTCATTTCCATGGGTATGGCGCGGATGACGGTTTCTTTGTCTCAGTATGCGAGCTAATATAAACGAACTGACTCCAAACACGAGAAAAATCGGTACGACAATCAACCATATTAATTTTATTTTACTTTTCCCCTCATTTTGCACTCGTGTGGCCAGTAGCGGTGTTGTGTGCGCTTTATTTTTTTTGGTCGTTTTGCACTCGTGTGGTTAGTGGCAGCGTTTCGCGTGTCCGTATTATCAAGTATGAGTGCTGACTTGGGATCTCCTTCAAATTGCAGACGCTCACGATTACCTTCAAAATGTCCGCGTGTATTGATGTGCAGTTTAAAGGGTTGTTCCTCATATCGATTTGTTTAAATCCTTGTAGCTCGGTTATGTCCTTTTCCGTTAGTGTTGTTATCTGGTTGTCGTTCATTAGTAATATATGGTAATGTTGGTCGTTAAAGCCCGTTTCTTACTAGGTTAGCAAAAACGCGTCTGGGCAATGTCGTAAAAGTACAATGAGTTCAGAGAAATACAGTGTGTACAGAGAAATATCGGACTGAGGTCTTTTTTGTACAGACCGAGCCCTACCGGGCGAGGTTTATACAAAAAGACCGAGGTCTGATATTTCTCTGTACATACCGAGCAAGCGAGGTTAATAAAAAGTTTATTATATGGCATTTATAGGCATTTATACTTGAAGCAAGCAAGAAATGCACGATTCGAAATGCATATTAATAGCGTAGTACACATTTGGTCGAAGAAAACAAATAATACCAATGTATTCCCTCTTTTCCACTAAAAACCATTCGCATATATCTAATTGAATTATAATTTTCAAATTTTCAATTAATTTTGCTGTTTTTTTTAAATTGCATGCGTTTGTTTTTACGTAATGGACCGGCGGTCCATTATGGGAAAATAATGGACCGCTGAAAGTACTTCTTAGTCCGCCATTCACAGTCCGCCATTTCACCGGAAGTGATGCTTGCCATATAATGATGACTTCTTAATGACTTTTGCTATTCAACCCGGATTAGTGATATTCAAATTTCACGAGGTTAAGTTGTGTAACCATGCAATTAAGCGTTGTGTCCAAGATTGTTTTATTTCAAAGCTAGCTATATCCACTTGTTTTAAATCCCATACACAGATTCTTACGGCATCACAAAAATCGATATCGCTCACTTTAAAAACTAAAGTCAAGCAAGCCATAATTGTACCAAAATTTGAAGGTTCTAACTCTCGATATATTATACACAAATTTTCAAGTACGTTCTCTCTTCCAATACGAGCTATCATGCATTCAAATACACCTTCATGCTTTTCGAAAAGCACTTTTAAAATGAAAATGAAAAGTATTCTCACTCAATTCAATGTTATTTTCCTTTAAAACCGCCATTATTAACCCTTCAGCCATCTTGAAACAAGATGGCGACTAATCGGAAAACTCCCGTTGTTTTATCATCATCGGAAAATCTTCGGAAAATACGTCATCGATTACGCAAATTAATTGGTATTTTTGAATTATTACCCTTAATAATTATGTGCATGATTAAGCCCAAGATATAACTACTATCGATTCTGTCCACTTTCTTTCCTGACCGTCTCCCACGTCTCCCAGCACTTTAAGTGGATAATCTTTGAGCAACAAGGCATGTTGAAAGCATATTTTTCGTTGCCAACTACTTGCTCAAGACAAATAAAACAGTCCACTGTTGTTTCCGTCTTTGCTCTTGTGCACCTACTATGCCAGCCACCCCTTCGCGTTCGAAATTCACCTCGTGACATCGCGAAAGGACATGTGTAATGATTGCCGTTTCTATTTTCTTTGTGCTTGAACCTTTGTCTTTCTTCTGGCGCACATCTTGGCCACCACTCCATCTGCGAAGTCAGTGGCAGAAAGCAGAGAAAACACGTCTCTTCGTAATCTCCTTTCCACCGTGTTCGACACATCGGACATGATGCATTATGTCCACTTTCGTTCTTCACGGTCTCCAACGTCTCCCAGCACTTTAAATGCAGAATTTTTGAGCAACACGGCATGTCGAACGCGCACTTCTCGTTGCTAACTATTTCCTCAAAACAAATAAAACAGTCCACTGTTGTTTCCGTCTTTGCTCTTGTGCACATACTATACCAGCCATCACTTTGCGTTCGAAATTCACCTCGTGACATGGCGAAAGGACATGTGTAATGATTGCCGTTTCTATTTTCTTTGTGCTTGAACCTTTGTCTTTCTTCTGGCGCACACCTTGGCCACCACTCCATCTGCGAAGTCAGTGGCCGAAAGCAGAGAATACACGTCTCTTCGTAATCTCCTTTCCACCGTGTCCGACACATCGGACATGATGCATTATGTTCACTTTCGTTCTTCACGGTATCCAACGTCTCCCAGCACTTTAAATGCAGAAATTTTGCGCAACAAGGCATGTCGAACGCGTACTTCTCGTTGCTAACTATTTCATCAAAACAAATAAAACAGTCCACTGTTGTTTCCGTCTTTGCTCTTGTGCGCCTACTATGCGGCACCCTTCGCGTTTGAAATTCACCTCGTGACATGGCGAAAGGACATGTGTAATGATTGCCGTTTCTATTTTCTTTGTGCTTGAACCTTTGTCTTTCGTCTGGCGCACACCTTGGCCACCACTCCATCTGCGAAGTCAGTGGCAGAAAGCAGAGAATACACGTCTCTTCGTAATCTCCTTTCCACCGTGTCCGACACATCGGACATGATGCATTATGTTCACTTTCGTTCTTCACGGTATCCAACGTCTCCCAGCACTTTAAATGCAGAAATTTTGCGCAACAAGGCATGTCGAACGCGTACTTCTCGTTGCTAACTATTTCATCAAAACAAATAAAACAGTCCACTGTTGTTTCCGTCTTTGCTCTTGTGCGCCTACTATGCGGCACCCTTCGCGTTTGAAATTCACCTCGTGACATGGCGAAAGGACATGTGTAATGATTGCCGTTTCTATTTTCTTTGTGCTTGAACCTTTGTCTTTCGTCTGGCGCACACCTTGGCCACCACTCCATCTGCGAAGTCAGTGGCAGAAAGCAGAGAATACACGTCTCTTCGTAATCTCCTTTCCACCGTGTCCGACACATCGGACATGATGCATTATGTTCACTTTCGTTCTTCACGGTATCC